TTTTTGGGACTCCGGGTATTGGAAACCGCCACAAGCGCTATTATGCTCCCGTAGTACGCAAAACTGGACAAAAAAAAAGAGAATACCTGCGGTGGAACTGCGTCCTTGACCCACTGGCTCATCCTTTTATTTTTAATTTATCGTTCGCATACACGAGTCCAAACGCGCTCCACATTTTAGCGTTGCTGATGGACGAGCACGGGAAGCGGCAGAGCTGTAAATATTTGTTTCATAATACGCTCTAATTTATTTATGTTGCCAGCAGTTATTTGCTTAATTAAAATTTTTTACCAGTAGTAATTACTAATTAGGCATATTCTATTTCGTCAACAAGTTGGAATTTTTAAGGACTACGCTTGCGTTCTGATTTGTCTTGTTTAATTTTCCTCATATGCCGGAATATTTCTGTTCGAGAGGATGTAGCCGATTTAAAAATATTTAAATTGTCCATATTACATAAAATTTATCACAATTTATCAATTTATCCATTGTATAAAACAAATACATGAAAGGAAAATATGCAGGGTGTGACTTAAATGCTTAGCCAAAATTTAATGGGGAATTAAGAAGCATCTCAAATATAAATAGTTAAGTACCTATATGTGTCTGCAAACGTGTTTTCGAGATACTGTGAGTTAAAGTTTAATAATTAATTAAAAAATCTGTTTTTTTTTTAATTACAACAAAACTGTTGAAGCGATTTCATAAATTATAAACGTATATACTAGGGCAAGGGTCGGCAACTGGCGGACCGCGGTCCAGGTCCGGACCGCGCAAGGTAAAATACTGGACCGCCAAAAATTTTTTGAAAGTATAAATTACTCAAATAAATGATTTAAAAAATATTTTTTACGTTTAAGTGCCAATCTTATCATTTTTCTAGTATTTTACAATTGTGTGAGTGTGTGAGTTCTTAATGGTTAGTAAGCAGATTAAATTTGAGTCCAAATTAAAATAAAAAAATAAGAAATATGAATTTTTTTCTAGACCTCGTTAAAAATTTTCAAAGGTTTCCGAACCCCACCTAAAATTACTTGCCGACCCCTGTACTAGGGTTTGTTCTAATCGATGCGAGTCTAGGATCATTCGTCAGTCGAGCCCACCATACACTTACGGGTTTCGAATTTGGAAGTGTCTCTTAAAAATTCACTTAGTTGGCGAAAGAGGTGGTGACTGTTTATAGTACCTGCGAATTTACAGGCCCCTCTTTGTCAGCGTGGGCGTATTGGAGGCCTAGGTATTGAGCAGAGGTGACCATTCATAGATATAGCACTCTGCTATGTCTTGTATACATTCAAATCAAAATGTATTGTACTTTTTACTGGTAGATGTATGTATTTGAAGAAGACCACCACAGAAACCATTTTAGTGATACAGATATATTTTACTTATACATGCTAGGACCCACATTTCAAATATATCAACATGAGATGGTGATTAGTTTATTTTAATATCTTTAATAAATTCGACCACGGATGTCAAACTCTAGTTATTTTAAATATTTTTATAGTTGCTTTAAATATTTTTCGCATACAGCCAGCACATAATTTCATCTTTCATTTACTTAAATTAAAATACTAAGGAATTTTTAAAATTTTTTAGCAAAATATGTATTTGCACTTATTAACAATATTGTACAAATTCAATATTAATTTGCAATTATACAGTTAGTTATCCCACTGTCGAATTTCACCTCCAACTAGTTATATACAAAATAGCTGAAAACACGGTAAGTTTGTACAGGATCCTGTCATGGAAAAAACCGCCCATAGAGATCAGAAAAAGGGTTGCCTAATCTACAGGCTGAAATATAATAAAATCGTGATTTTCTTATAATACATTCCCAGATTTTAATCCCTACGGAAAAAATATACACATATTAGATATGTCGTTAAAAATTTTTTATTTATAGTGTGATTCTTAATTTCACGTGTTTGTGCCAAGCCATTCAGAATATGTACAAGTTCTATTCAGAAAATAACTGAACTTTTTGAATTAGGCACTAGTGGAGATACCTAGTGACATGTGGTTGGCAGCATTGCGTTGCGCATAACCTCCTCTGTAACCACATGTTCTTGTATTGTTGAACTTTTGAACGAAGATGTTGCTTTGAGTCTAATGCAATGTTACGACTGTTTTTCACGATTTATAAGCTTATAAAGTTCGGTTATTTTGTGAACAGACCTTGTATTTGCCACAAACTTTTTTATGTAGAGATATAGATTCGGGTAATTTTTTCTTTCATTTTATTGTAACGAAAATGACGTTAGGCTTCATTTGACTAAGATGCGCGGTTTTCTAGATGAATAGCAAAATATACATAATAATATATCTTTAATTGGTATTTGAATACATGATATATTTGAAAATATTTTCGATACATTTATAGGAACTTTTTTTGGCAACTTATGACGTAGGAACCGCTATTAATGTATGGACTAAGCGTTTTAGTTACACTGCACAAATAATTTTATTTCAACGTTTTCATTAACTTAATAAGTTTTTTTTCTGTTTTTGATATTTAATGAAGAATCGTATCAGTCAAGTCTTCTTGACCAGGAAAGTTGACAGAACATTTATAAGATTCGTTTAATAAATTAATTATTAATGATCAAAGTTAATTATTTACAATCTTTTTCTTTTTTTTTATATTAAATTTTGATAAAGAATCGTATTGACCTTCAAGTGTTTTGTAGTAAATAGTCGACAGAAAATTTTCCGTTAATATATATTTTTTTCATTTGAGGTCAAACTAATAGCACAGAAAATGCAAACGAATTTTTTATCAAAGTATTCATCTTTAGAAACTATATCTAATGTTAATGATCAACATTATTAAGTAGCTTTTATACATAATGTTGCGAAATTCGCGGACACCGGCTGTGGTGACCAAAAAGTGTCTGTATGATCGCACCAACTTTTTGGAGCTTTGGCAATTTCAGATCTCCAAAAATAATGAAAACAAATATTCACAAATTTGGACATGTAACTCTTAATCCAGTTGTAACTAAGGTTTTATTGAATTATTTCCGTGGTTGGTTATTTTTGTTAATTGATTTTCATTTAACCCAGTTTTAGCTAAATGGCTTAACGGTAGTGATAAGAGTGATTTGTGAATTTAAACTTTTTATTGCACGGCAGGCTTTTTATAGAAATCATATACAATTCTGGATTTTATGTAAGAAATAAGTCGATTTGTCTTTATATTGCACCTTGACGTAACAATTTTTTTATAAAATTTAAAATAAAATAAAAACACAAAAAATATAAAACTGCACATTTGGGGCAAATGTTTTCATTAGCAATGTTATTAATCATTTACTGCCGGTTTATTTGCGGTTGCCTACTTGACACGTTTTTGAAAAAATGTAGTCGCTACTGCACCGTTATATAATTTTTTTTAAATCAGTTAGAGATTTGGTTACCTCATGTCCTCGAAACGTGGGCTCATAAGATTTACATACAGTCTGGCGTATTTTCAGCTTAAAGCTGCAATTTTTTTTTAAATTCTTTGTTGGTGAAAGCTTATGAACTATCTATCATAATTCGAAAATCTTCGATATATTTTTCCAATTTCCTGATAGAATACCACTCGTACATTGAAAATTATGGATAATTTTCAAAGCACTAATGGTAATATTACATAAAGTCAATAAAAACTGCAAAATAATGAACCACAATTATTCAAATCGTGAATATTAATATATGTTGAGGGCCCTTCAAATAATCGCACAGATGAAGCACCAGTATCCTGGGCACCGTCTACCAAATGCTAGAATGTCCAGAAGATTGCAGGACGGAATTCTGTTTAACGGACACGTAGAAATGTAGGTCTCCGTCGTCTTCACGGCAGTGCCCTTGACTAGATGAAAAATAATCCTTCAATTCGAGGGAATTAGGAATTAATTTGCATCTGGAGAGAAATACTGGCAAGATAACGATGGGCCACAACGAATTAGATTCTTGTGAATGGTACCTCATAATGACTGTAATTTCCATTGATTCGCTTTATACACTCAAGATGGTATTTTTAACATACATAATGAAAAGTTTTGAGCAATGAAAACCTACATTTAATAAGAGCCAGAAATCGCTAACGCTGCTTTGGTTTAAATCTATGGTGTGGATTATTAGACGATGTAAATGAGAAATATTTATTATAAAATCATTCAATTGATTCCATCCACATTTTGGTTCAACCACATTATGCTAATCGCACAAAATTATTTCCTGCAATAACAACTTCCGCAATTCATGGATGACGTACTCCTAAATGTAAGTAATGGTGCAGGTCCCTATATCGCATTAATTGTACGTGATTACATCAATAATACTTTTCCTGGAAGGTGGCTTGGTAAAGGCGGTCCACTTACTTGGCCTCCTCATTCGCTATACCTAAAACTATGTGATTTTTTATGGGGCTTTCTAAAACCGTTATAGAATATCAGTAGCTAATTTCAATGAACTGCAGAACTGCAATTTAAAATAATGTAACAAACAATACTAGGAATTATCCACAGTAGCATAACATGCTGAAGCATGTTTAGCAGCAGACAGTGAAAATTTTGAATAATTGTAACTCGTTTGTCATAAATCAACCTTCCAGAAACGAACTCAATATTATTGACAAATATCACGAGACCTAAATTAACCTAAACATCAACACTTTTAATAATTGTACTTTGCATGACTACACTTTCAACATAAATATTAATAATAATAAAGTTATATTTTTGATATAAATCTATAACCAATAAGTATTCAGTTGCAGTTCCATTTGTTGTCAAATTATTGGCGGCAACGCAAACAACACTGTATGGACCTCACTCAGAAACTGTATTTCCATGACCCTCATGCATTGCTTGCTTTGCATTCTCGCCCTATAAAATAATACTTTTTGATCTTGGCACGTAAATAACTATTATAAATTGATTACAATTTAAGTCTTTCTAAATTAATTTGAGTGACTTAAAGAGATGGAATTATTCTCAAAAACTTACCGCGTTGTTTATTTTCAATTTTTTTCCTTCTCCCACCTCATTGTCTCCAGCATTGCCGAGACTAGGCCCGATTACCAGCTCTAACCAATTTACACAGGAGCACTCGCAAATCACCAAAATCAGAAAATGCACACTGTACCGTATCCTCGTTTTCATTTTCGCCATATATCCGTTATGCACTGCAAGAAAGTGCAAGCGCACTACTTGCCCACTTATTTGAAAACAAAGGATAATTTTCCTCGCATTTTTAAACAGCGAATTACGTGTTTGTCGCGTATTAAAATTAAGCCCGTGCCTAATATACTATTAACGATATTACGAAATCTTGCATATGCCACTTTAATGACATATTTTCGACGAGTGTGTTTACGTTGGCTCTTTAGGCGGGTCGGCATTTTTACACGTTCATTTGGATTTCCCGTTAGCTAGGTGGGTATATTAATAATTTCGATTTATCGTTGTGGCCACCGTAAAAAAGTTACTACCGGGGCCACAATAAGTTATATTAAAAATTCGAAGTCATTTTACCCCTGTTAATATTTGACGACGTATTTTACAAATAGTCAGTGACCCTTATTTAAATTTTATTTTGAGGAACACAAGAAAATTTGTCTCCCTAACATTGATACAAAAGACTTTTCCTTAATTTTATTTTTAACATAATTTCTTAACATACTTGCGCCACCTGCCCGACAACCCTCTCTATAAAGATTTTTTCCATCAGAAAAAGATAATTCCTATGGGTTATTTGTTGCGGTTCTACTTTTTCCACTACTCCACTTGATATAGCTATGGCACTAGTTTCACTGAGGCTTTCAATTGAGCTTCTTTTCACAGAAATGTTTTAAATCTTAGGATTCATGAGCACTTTTGCATTTTGCCTAGTTTTTTTCACTATTTCTGTTCATATTTCTATCGCTATACCCCTTTAACACTGCTTTTTAAGCTTGCCTTTTATGATCTTCGCCACATGCACAGAAAATTGTTTAATGTTTTGCAACGCAAAAAAAATATTTTTGTAAATGTTTATAATATGACACATGTGAAGAGATGATGTTCGATGTAGTTGGAATTTGACCAACAAATCCGGAAAAAACTAGGTATATTAAGTTTTCGGGTTTTTTGGTTCTGTCGTCGAAGCAGCGAATACGCTTAATCTTGAGTCGCGTGCTCACACTGGCTAAGAACTTTTCCTGGTAACAGAACTGCGAGACCTCAGAGTCGACGTTCGATCGCATGTCGGGATGTGTTCATGGCGATAAGTCAGTGTCGTGCACCAGCTCAAATTCCGTAGCATTCCCGGTGTTTTCGAGGAATTTTGTGCGTCCCGCGAGGGTTATTGGTTATCGCTCTGCCAACAGCACCGGGCTCTCCTGATATCGCCTTCTGCGGATTGGGATGTTTGGAGTGATTTGCAATGGATATTTTCGGCGGTTGATTTCGAAACATAAAAATTTCGGTTTCCGCTCAGCCTTACATAGATAGATGGTCAACCAGAAGCTCTCGAGCATAGGCAACTACTTTTGGTTGGGTTTTTCGTGCGTAGAGGCTCTGTAAACGGCTTCCTAGGTCAGATTCTAAAGTGGAACGAAATTCCAAATGCACTCGGTAGGTACTTCGAATATATTACCTTCAAAAAAATTAATGACATCTTTTAATTGGTTGATTTCTACAAAATGACGTTCTTTAAGGTGCTTCTCAAATTTTGAAAAAAAGGTCAAACGGAACCAATGTATGAATGAACGAAGCGGAATCAAATACATTATTAATGAAATATATACAGAAAAAACTGTTTCTATTGAACGATACTAGCAACGCACAGTAAGTTGTTTCTATCATGGTGAAGTAGATATTTTTTCTCGTATCCCTTATATTGAAATTTAGGAATTTTTCAACTTCAATTTCTTCAGATATACGTAAATATTTCCTCTCTAGCAATAATTGATAACTCAATATTGTGTTAATCAATATTGGATACTTTTAAATATACATTCAATATTGATTATTTGCAATTAAATATTAACATAACCTTAATGAAGACTCTAGTGCAAGAAGAAGATAAATCCATTTTTTTAAATGAGTTGCTTACCTATATCACAGTATAGAAAACAGTAAATGCACTGCCTATCTAACCTATTTATAGCATAGATCACGCGTCCCTTTATTAGAGCAGTGGGGTTGTGATCCACAGAAGAGGGGGAGTGAATTTACTGTTTTCTATACAGGGACTGGGCCATAATGCTATTTTCAAAAATCAGGGTGAAATTCGCTGTCCCCTGGTTCCTTGGGACAGAGGTAGTTTGAAGTTTAGGTTTATAAGCACTAAAGCTCGTTTGGCGACTTTGGCGTACTTGTCAGGTTTTGAATGTGTGGGACATGCTAGCCCCCAAATGAGTTTCGCAATTTTTTGAGGTTAGGTTGAAATTCTAACCCATACACTAAGGGAATTGAATATTGAATACCTAAGCAGTAAAATACATGTCTTTTACTTTACTAGTTTTCTACTCTTACTTGCCATCTCACAGTCATTAAGCGCTCAGGAAAATTTATGTACATAATACAAATTCTGTTACACTGATTTCTTTGAGGTCAGAAAGTGGTCATTATTCGATTGAACAGTTCTGGTGTCAAATTTGCACTCGGTTTTTTAAAAAGCGTCATATATATTATATATACAGGGCTGGAAAATCCACATGGTCCATCTGCCTTTACATGAGAGCGACAAAGTAAAGAAATCCGTGCGATAGACAAGGATGGCTATAGTGAAGACGTTTCATAATCTGAATAGTCATCGCCCGTTTCGGGTTAGAAGTGGGAGTGACTATTCAGATTATGAAACGTCTTCAATGTTACGGCCGATGTACCATGAGGACTTTCCGTGTTTTCCGAATTTGAACGTGTAGAACTCTCACGCAAGTTTTCAAGGTACTTGAGTCTCCATTTTATAAGTTAATACTTATTATAACACATAGTTATTTCTCGTCAAGTCAGCTACATAGATGTCCTCAAAAATAAACCCAATTTTTTGCTATTTTTACCCATTTTTTAAAGGTAGAAGAGAAATCTTGACCTATTGACGCAATTCTGATAAACTGGTATTCAGCGGCTCAAAACACATCGGAGGAAAAGGACGGGATTTTAGTATACCAAACATGAAACTTTTTATTTGGTCAGTTAATGTTTACTTTTTAATGTTAATATTGCAAAGTAAAACTGGTTGCATAAGAAATGAATGCAGCTACGCTTGAGTATCAAAAAACGACTTTTCTTCCTAAGGGACCGTTCTGATGAATTTAGAATGTGTATTACAATGAGATATCACGAATATTTTAAAAATAATTTTGTCAATATGGTAGAAACAATAAAATTGCTTGAGACATTTATCTAAAAATTTTCTTTGATTACATGAATTTAAGGAAAACAAATACATATAGTTACAATATTTATTTACCTTCGCTGAAGAGAACATGGCAAAAATTAAAAAAATATCTTAATTTTTTTTTAATAAAACAAAAAAAAGTGTTCCTGATACTACATGCTCAAGGCTTCGGGGCAAAAAGGACCACCATTTATTGTATGCACAAATTGCATACAAATTCAGCGTCATTTTCAACCACGCCTGCGCACTCATCGTGTGCCCATTTTCCGCATTGCTGAGATCTAATCCGTTCTTCGCTTCCTTTACATTCACCATAGACTTCATTACAGTATAGATATTCTTCCGATTCTAAATCAGTTTCGCTGTCAGCAATTGTTGTTCACGTTAAAACAATCATAAAACACATTCACTTTTAGATACGTTTAATAGTACTGTCAAACAAAACTGCCAACACAGTGGAAATCTACATTAGTTTTAAAATAAATTAACTGATCCCATTTGCCCTCTTTACTCTTTACTTTACCCCTGTCTCCCCTATATATATATTACAAGGGATACTGAAATCCATATAAATTCATGTTTTTGCACACGGGAAAAACTGTGTTGCCTTAAAATATAAGTCGTTGGGGTCCTTGTGCTATTAGTTACCAAAATAAAAAAATTAAACAAATTGCTTTATAATCAATATATTTATTGTAAATATTTGTATCTTCATATTTATATATTTACACTTTTCAAAAATATATTAAAAGCTTATTACTTTAAAGCAATAAAGACAGTAATATCTACCAATTTAATAGAACTGTTAATAAATAAACAAAAAAGAAAACACCTTTAACCGTACAATATATAACGATATATTGAGCAAAGGTACAAATTTCATTTCACATATAAGAGATGTATACAATATCTTTTATTTCGATAGAGCAAAAAGGCCAAGGTACTATATATTCTTATGATACATAATATGTCTCTCATTCCTCTGTCCTCGTCACCCTCGGGTAGAGCTGAAACAAAAAATATCGATTGAGATTAAAATTTTATCAAAGTATGAATTAGATTAAGAAGTACAGTAAAACTCGGTTATAGCGAGCATTCACGGGAACGCAAAATTTGCTCGTTATACGCGAGTGCTCGTTATAGATGTCGCCGTCGCCAACTATGCTGAAAATTATTGGACACATAATTATAGCTGCATTGCACTTGTATTTTTATTTTCAAACATATAATATTATTTATCTACATAACATAGATAAGTATAACTGTAGGTAAGTAACATTACATAGCATTTATTATTAACGAAAAAATTCTGTAATATTTTTCTGCACCACTCTTTTGCTTAATATCTCCTGACTGATATTTCTTTGCAACCGATCAGCGGCATTTAAGAACTGCTCGTTTTCCGGATATTTGAATTCGACGTATGATACTATGGTTTTTAACGCAGAGATGGCTTCATGTGTCGAAGGAACTGTAACCTCATCGCTTCCCGTCTCTTCTTCATCACTTTCTTCATCTATTGATGGGTTAATCGCTAATTGTGTGATTTGAATTTCATTGGGGAATTCAGCCACTTCGAGATTTCCGTCTACCATGTCGTACTGAACTAAGTCAAAGACGTTAAAATCGAATATGTTGTTATTTCTACTTGTCATAACAAGTTTTTGCGTTCATTTGATGTCATGTGCATAAAAAGTGGTTCTACGATAACTCGTTATAGCCGAGATCACTGTTGCGCGGGACCAAAATCAAAGCTCGTAATAGCCAAGCCCTCGTTATATACGAGTTCGTTATAGCCGAACAAAAATACACGTGTTATATAGGGAATTCGGAAGGGACTTTTCAATTTGCTCGTTATAACCAAGTGCTCGTTATATCCCCTGCTCGTTATAAGCGAGTTCAACTGTATATCGTATTTTTGCATTTTTTTACGAGGCGACTTTTTCTGTGTTTGTGATTCTTTTAAGCACAGATTCTGCTTCATTACCGTCCAAGAAATCACCCATTAAAATAAACATCTCAAATATAAAATCATCCTGCACATTTAGTACTTACTCCGAGAAGATTTCGAGGAACGTATCCTTCTTTGTCACCCAAACGGGACCACCACCACTCCCTTTCATTCTCATCACCCTTCCTTAAGACTGTAAATTCCTGCCCAGCCTTGAAGCTAAGCTCGTCAGGTTGCTGCGCCGTGTAGTCAAAAACTGCGTACACCACTCCTCCAGACAAAATTCCAAGCTTTTCTTGTACACCTAAGACATAAATTAAGTATTTCCAAGTTTACATTACAAAAACTGAGACTTACTGTACAAATATTCCGAGCATCCATCAAACCCTTCCTCGTCTTCCTCGCACTTCTCAGCGGCCGTTTCGTGATCGCTCAAAGTCGTCGCAAAGATGCAAGCTCCGTGCTCCACCAAAAACTTTACCATGGTTAAATTATTGCAGCTCGCAGCACAGTGCAAGGGCGTCCAACCGTCGCTGTCCTGTGCGTTCACGTCACACCCAAACTCTACAAGGAATTTTACAATCTCCAAGTGCCCAGCACAAATGGCGTTGTGCAGAGCAGTTATGCCTTCATCGTTAGCTGCGCTGGGATTGGCTACTTGCGTCGCCGTTTTCTTCACCAGTTCCAGCTCTCCTTCCAGACTTGCATCCAACAGAAGTGCCAAGGGATCGAAGCTCACCCTCCGAGATAAGTTAGACTTTCCAGTTTGCTTCAGGTTGCCTTTCTTACAACGACGGACGACACCGTCGAACGGCTTGTCATCTTTTTCGGGTTCCTCGACACATACTTTGTCTGTTTCGTCCTTTTCCGGTTGTGACGGAGGACTTTCAGGAGCCTTTTCGGGATTCTGGAGCTCTGGAAAATGGAAAGTGGGTGGCATCTCGATCCGTCTGTTCGATGTTAGGCCGTTAAGTTTTGAGTAGGTGTTAACGGTTCTTAGCTTAGGCTGTTCGCTCAAGGGCTGTTTTTTTATGGTTAGTGGTTTAGCCTTGATTATCATCTCCGAGATGGGGGTGTTATTTTGGTTATTCAAAGCCACAGGCGGGAGGGTACCTAAAAATGTATATGTTATTAGTCGTTTTGGATGCATTCTTACTCTAGGTCATTTTAATTAAGGTATGATATACTGGTTTTCAGTTTTTATGAACTAGTGAAAGCAAACATTCATCAGACATACAGTGTGTAGCTTTAAGTGGGGGTCAAGGTTTTAGTGCATTCCCCAGAATATTAATCCGATTTTTTTTTAAATAAATCAAATGAATAGTTGGGTTGCTTTTTAAACTGAACTTAAACTCTTGTCTACCCTGCTACTGGGCAGACCCAGATCTGATGAAGCACGTAACATTTTTTTTTTAATATTGTTTAAAATCATTGAAGTTTTCAATACAAAAAGTATTAGTTACCGTTTTGTTTAGCGCACTGTGTTCAGTTTATGAACCTCAAAATCGGCATTCTCTAAAATTGACAGTTAGCAAATAGGCAACCAGCAATACATTTTTATGGATTTTATTACACAGTTTGTCAAAATATGAATTAATGCACAAATAACAAACTTTCCCCCGTTTTAACGCAGATTTTCTATAAAATGGATGATGCCGCTTATGCAAAAGCGGCAAATTATAAATTTCTTTACAATAAAAAGTAATTTGAATATCAAACCCATTTTATAGAAAATCTATGTTAAAATGCAGGAAATTTGTGCATTAATTCATATTAAGTCAAATTGGGTAATAAAATCTATAAAAATGTATTGCTTATTGCCCCTATACTATAGAGTCCTCTTAAGTTTAATGTTATAGTGAAATATGTAGTTTTAGTGATGTATCTTGAAATAGTGTCTAATGTGTAACCTTAAACGTTGTTTTTCTCAATGTTTGGTGGTGGGGTATGAAAATTATGAAAAAAAACAAAGTTCTCACAAAGGAATTTGAAAAAACAAATACTTATATGTTTCTAAGTCAAAAGTAGCATCCACATAAATATGACTCCCATTGAAAGCTACACCTGATTAAAAATACCTTGTTTCTGACTGGCAGGCACATTTTTGCTTCCGGCGTTCTTATTGTCATCTGGGGGTTCACTCAGAGGCAACGGAGGAGGCACACTCTCCTCGTTTAGAACCTGCGTCTGTCTTGGTGGGGGTTTTATCGCAGGTTTAGGAGGCAAGGCCGGTTTCGGAGTCTTATCCGCTACATCCGGGGTGCCAGTTAATGGCGTACTACTCGACTGAGGTGGAGACAAGATGCTGGTCTGGGGCGATTGGACCTGTTGCTGGCTGTTATAGGAGATAGAGGTTAGGTTCTTGCTTGTCGTTAACGTTTGAGGCTCGACGGGTTGAACTTTTATGGATGAGGTTTGGTAGACGTTTGAGAGGATGCCAGTGTGGTGGATTGACGTGGGGGCAACACTACTGATGGGCTTCTGGAACAAATACATTTTGTGGGGGTCAATTGCAGAGAAGGGAATGTTTGAAGGTTCAAAATTTCCGGAAAAATTGTCGAAGGCAAAAAGATCTTAAGAACCCTAAAATCTTGTATATCATATCTAGATTGCCCTTATTTGGAATTCAGACAAGCAATAAATTATTAGAAAAAGTTTCTCTAAGGTCATAAATGTAAATGTACCCTATTTGGTGCTAATTTTATAGTGACCACAATGTAAATTTTGAAATAACCATATTTTGTTAAATATTTCTGTTGGAGATATTGACAAAAAAGCTTTATATCTTTTCAAACTAGAAATATATGAAGAATGGAGAATTTTTTGGTCAAAATTTATTATACACCCTGTGTTGTTTATTTTTATTGTTTATACATTTTCTTTTAAATAATTTAAGGGCATTTGTTAAAATGTTATTTTCATACTTATTGAGGTTTATTTCAGCAAAATATATCATGAAACAAATTTTGACAAATATTTTTTCAAATGCTTATATCTTGTTTTTAAAATTTTTCTTTTTTTATTTTTTTGCAATTTTCATTTTTTGAAACGTTTAAATCTCTACCAATGCTATCAAAAAAATCCAAAAGATATCCCACTTACTTGATATGTTGTACCAGAACTAGTACTAGTAATGGCAGGATATGTATTTTCTTTCTGATGCTGATTCATACCCAAGGACTCCTCGCCACCATTCAGCAAGCCATGTTCCTTATTGTCGCTCACCTTCCTACTCAATAAATCATGCTGGTTCAAAGGGGTAGCGATGTTCTTGTTCACTATACTTAACGGCGCGCTATGTACAGTCATATGCGTCGATTGCAGGTTAAAATTGCCATTTACATGGTTCGATATGTGACTATTTACATCCTCTTTGTGGTCATTGTTATTTACATTGCTGTTCTCGTTCTTCGATATCCTGTTGGGCAGGAGGTTCACCGTGAACTTGGTGTTGTAGGGTAGCGTCTGATATTTGGGGTCGTTCTTCGAGACGGTGAAGTCCTTCAGGGCGTCATTTTCGTCTGGCCTGGGCGCATACAAGTTGGCCATCTTGTTGGCCAATTCTTGAGCCTCAGTATTGCTGTTGGGAGAATCCGAGTCTTTTTTGATATGATGATTCTGTTGATATACTGGATGATATGTAGTAGTCTATGGAAATATAAATAACAAAAAAATATAATTCCTGAATTAATTTGTAGAAAATGTAGTAAGAGACATTAAAATTATTCCCTACCTCCTGTTGGCTGTTGATATTCTTAATCTGTTGATTCTGCTGCTGTAAGGGCACATGATTGTAAGGTTCCACAGCAGCTATATTTCCTCTAGATAGGCCGTTTGGCTGACTATTTTGCTGTTGTTTTCTAGCGAATGCCTGGTTGTTTTGTTCAGCATTTCCAGTTAACCTGAAGGCAATAGTTGGTGTGTACTAGATATTTTTGGTAGTGTATGTTAGATCTTTTAATTCTTTATAATATTTGTTTTATAATTTGTCTGTGAAGTTAGCTTCAAACTGTGCTTATAAATCTTGTTTTAAATTGAAACCAAAAATAATTAATACATAAGATAAAGCAATACAGCTTGACCAAATCCTGTCCGCGAGTTTCAGATGCGCATAGGTAATAATTTGCTCATATATTTAAATATATTGAGGGTTGCTTTCGCTGTACAGCAAGAATAAAACGCTCTCTCTACGGTAATAAAGTATTTTATTGAAAACTAAGTTGTATAGAAAAAAGACGTGTTGACGGGGTGAGTCTTCGTTGGAGACCCCTGTCTGTGGAGTCCGTAGTAGGTATATGAGTACGCATCTGGTCGCCGGCGCCAGTCCGCCGTAGACCCTTCCTGGAACGCTGGTGCGTCCGGCGGCGTCCTGCTGGCGCTCTTGACGTAATGCATCAAAATGGGTCACTTGCGGCATGTGTACCCACAATATAATATAAAATTTTCATTAAATAATTGTATTTGCTAGACCTAAGTAAAATTTTTCCACAGTTGGTACCTGCCCTCGGCGACGGCCTTAACCATTGCGAGACTTCGGACGGCAGATCTTTGCGAGGCTCCGGGCGGCAGATCTGCGAGGCCCTTGTCTTTGTGAAATGTACGTAAATCGATATTTCTGATGATTTAAGAGAAATGCAAAAGTTATAAATTTTAGAGTTTTCAAATATTATATTCAGAGATTTTTAAAAGTTAACAAATAGGTACAAGACGACAAGGATTTAAAGGATTTAAAAAAATGTGTAGGTTAGGACAAAAAATGAAGAGAAAGCAAGGAAATGTACCAAAACAAATCTCGTTTGTAATACAGTATTTACGAAAGCTGCAAATTTTTTTTTCTATAGTTACTAACATACTAAAAACAATTTGTGAAACTATCTCAAACGGAAATTAAAAATGTTAAAATGTTAAATTTATTTAATCAAATTACTTTAATATTAGCCAAAGAATACGTAGATTTTCCGCATGAAGTTAGTTAGTTAGTTATTTTAAAACAAATATAAACCCAGTTTTGTGTGTGGCGTAATAAATAATGTAAGACGTTGGCGTCACCTATAGGTTAAGTGCTCATAGTAAATTTACAAAATAATGTCTAACATAAAACAAATATAAAGGTAAAGTTTTAACAACAATATCGATACAAAGAGTATGAAAATATGGTCTATTCTTCTACCTTTATAAGTCATCTGAAGTTTTTATGTTTAAAATGAAGATAAATGTGATCTTTTGTTTCGGCCATAATAATATAATTTTATATGTTTGTTCCTTTTACTAAAGTGATTTTAATAAAGATGACGAAGCAATCGGTGTAAAAACAGCAGCCAATTTTGCCGATCTTTCCCGAACGATACCATGGAAAATCTAAATTACAAAAAATAATTAAACTCGCAAGGCAAATACTCCAGCCATCAAAAATAATCAGTTAATAAGTAAACCTATAACACTAAATAAAAAACATTGGAAATGCACAATACAAGCACCCTAAGATGCTTAAAACAGAGTAAGACAGTAAGAACTAAACATCCCTTAAATATAAAAAAACGATATTAGAAAATTATTGGCTGAAAATGTTTTTCTTAAAAAAATTCGGCAAAAATTCTCTCTAACCAAAGCCTGTTTAGTTCACGTTTGATATCTATTTTTCGCTAAGGCTAGGAACAAGCATATGGTTAACATTTTTGCTCGGGCTAATATAAATATTTTTAAAATTCTTTCTTCAGGAGGATTTCTGCAGCAAGCTGTAGTGTTCCTAGTACCTACACGTTGAATAAATCGTCTAGGACTGGGAGTATGTTTTTGTCGTTGCTTCGACCAACGTGTCTACCAGGAAATGCAGCGCACAAATTCCTACGAAGAAACCAAATTCCTTTTTTCCCTAGCGAAAATGTGTGTTTGTATTGTATAGTTTCCAGGCGAGCCGTCGGTATATCGGAATTGACGATATCCATGATACCGTTCGGGAGAAATCGGTTAAATTGTCCACTATCTTTGACTGCTGTTTTCACACTGATGAAGCATTGGTTCACAGTACGTCAGTCGGTAATTTATCACTAGCGAAAATACTTGTCCACGAAAAAGGAATAAAATCAGAACAGGATTATTTTATGTTACGGAACACCTACTGTGATGATTAATATTACAGCTGATCCAAATCTAGTGGATAGATGATACAATACTTTTATATTCATTAATTCATTTTTAAAAACAATTCACGAGGGCGTAGAAAATAATTAGGTCTGGTAGGTATTATTGTTGATGTCACTTTTTAGTTTTTAGCAATGTCTCTTTTTAATCAGACAGATAATTCAAAGCTATTGCATTTTCGTTTACCGCACAATTTTTTAGCTCTTATAGACCTACCTAACTAATTGGTGATAAGCAGCCTTGTGTGACGCGGCGCTGATCTGATTCGCTAGCTGTTGGTTTAGAAGCCGCTTCCTGTGTAACCTCTCCTGCAGCTCAGATATCCTTTTGTCGATAGCACTCATCTCTTCCTGTCGTGCGGTCAGCGCCTCCCGCTGCTGATGCAGCCGCTGGTTCTGCTGCTCATTCAACTTATTCCGATACTGAGGAGAAATACATTTTTAATAGTAGAGATAACCGAGATTTTCGCATCTGTCTTACCATAAGCTCCCTCCGTAGCTTGTCCAACTCGAGAGCCGACGCAGGCGGAGGGTCCCTCGTCGATCGTCCCCTTCGGAGCTCCTCCAGCTGTCTCGTCAGTTCCTCCACCTTGGCCACAGCCAGAGATAGCTCCTTCTCCTTCTCATTGAACAGAGCGCGGATCGAGTCAAGGTCACTTGCTGCAAAGAGAAGTCATTCGTTATGATTTAGCGTACTGGTCATCAAATACAAGAAAAGCCCTAAATGCAAAGCGGTACTTGTCCTAAATAAAAAAAAGGAACATATTCAGAGGGAAAAGAATGATATTTACGCTTAGATTTTACCAAAATTAGATTCTCAACACGAGACTTATGAGACTGAATTACACAGCTTTGGCAATCTGTAATTAATTTATTTCGATATTGTTAAAAAAAATAATGGACCTACTGCAAGAGTGCAGTTGATGTTATGCATCCGATCTGCTCACCGGCAAAGAGAGTACCCAAATATTCGGCAGGTACGTGATATCTATGTCCACTGCATATGTAAGCGTGACAAAAGCAGAATTTTTGCTACATCCGATGACCTGTATGTTATTTTAATTTTTCAGGAAAATTGTATTGTGCTTATAAAGTAAATCAATTGATTATTATTTACGGATAATCAATATACAGAAAGATTCACAAATTATCCAAAAACTTTGGACCATTAAAATTAGAGTCCATATAACAAATTTAAAAAAGTTATTATTAATTATTTTAATTTGTTCATTTCCTTACCATCTCTATCAATCTGGCAAACTTTATAACCCTTCATTATCCCCCTATACAGATAAACTGCCCGATTTTGCCTGAAAGACAGTATTGTTTCACGAGTTTTTGCCTCGGCATAAAGCTGCTAAGGAGAAAAGGGTAATGGGTAATTAAGTTTTTTGGCTAATACAATAAAGTTAAATAACCGCTTCAAGTTCATTATCTGATTCTGGAAAATGCCTGGAGGGCATCCAGAAAGGTTCTGTCACACCAACTTTGTTTTAACTAGGATTGTTTATACCAAGTCTGTAAATAGTAATTTTCTGAACGTGACGTAAATACAGTCGTTAGATATTTTCATCGAGAAATGCTGTTATTTCGAAAGGAAGATGTGACGTGAGAGACAGAGATGAATGCGTCGCCTATGCATATCATTTACCTAAAATCATGTGATGGTGCACTGCTCATTATTCTACAATACAAATGATTATTATACAGATACATTCAAAAGGAGTAAAAAGGGACATTTTTAAAATTTTTGTTTATATACATCCAAAATTTAGAATATAATTTACTTCTATAACAATACAAGTCTAATATTAATTAACCCATTAATAATAATATCAGAACTTTAAAAATTGTATTTACAACAAAACTACCTAACTAACAAAAAATGAACAAAATTGTTCCTACTTGGTTTATGAATATTAAAAAATATGAAAACAAATTTTCAAAATAGCCAGGCTAACTTATCTATTTACATATAAAACAACGCCGCTAGCTTTTCATTTGCCTCCGCCTTTAACAAAAATATTTTAAAAATAAAGAAAGTCATAGAAATCCGTGCGATAGAGAAAGATGGCTATAATGAAGGCGTCTAATAGTCACCGCCCATTTCGCCCTTCCACAAATAAGATCCACTTCTTATTTGTGGAAGGGCGAAATGGGCGGTGACTATTAGACGCCTTCATTATAGCCATCTTTATCTAACTACTCTTGAATAAGTGTCGCGACATTAAAGGTACTATGAGTGATGTTTAAATAATAACAAAAAAGAGTCGTTAAAAGCCGAAATTGATGAACTAATTAAGTTATACCATGCGAAACCCGAATTATGGGACATTAGAAGTAAAATTTATAGATATCGAGTAAAAAGGCAAAATGCTTTCATTGAAATCTCAGAAAAATTTATTACTACTGTAGAAGAAATTACAAGGGTAATCCATAACTTCAGGAACCAGACAGAGCCTTTTTTCTTCATTTTCCTTGCCATTTCTGAAATATATCGCAATGGCCGCAAATTTTCGTGTTGATAACATACTCTTTTAGTGTGACGTCACATATCTAGACAACTCGCAACAAATTGTCAGTTGAAATTGTACAGATCGATTCTAACCCTTGTTTACTATTTACATAGATACTGTAGAAATTAACAATTTCAAATTAACTTCTTTTTACAAGGATTTAGAAGAATTTAAGAACAGCCAACACGTGTTTCGTAAAATAGATGCACCAATGTGCTTAAAACTTACAGAAAACAATATAAAAGGATATTCTTAAATTTAAATAAAGTAAAAATTTAACATTAGCCGTGTTATTCCTAATGCGCATGATCGGGAAGAATAGCCTCATACGCAGGTGAGGTCTTGTTGATATATCACCGCTGTCATCATTAGCGTATTTTCTCTTCTTTAGTTTAATCTTGGCATGTTTTAGTTCTACCAAGTATTTTTATTGCTTTTCTTGGTGATCTGTTGTGTTAGTCTGTTTATCGAGTTTTTTGTCCTTCAAGTGGTTTATTATAGACGTACTCTTAACCAGAACCAAACTTTTCTTGAATGGCATCCTGTTGCGAGGCTACTTCGCTTATATCAAATTATCTTTAATGCGCATGCTCAGTAACATTGATATAATTTTAATATATTAATTACTGTAAATGTCAATATTGTTCTATAAATTTAAAAATATAAATTCTGCAATTGTTTTAGTTTGTCACTTGGGGTTTGAAACTTAAATATTTCTAATATTGCCAGAATATCGCGATATTTAAGGTCATGGCAAAGAAGAAATTTTTTGGCACTTATATCCAAAGTACATAAGGTCGAAAATCGATCGAATGTGACGTCACTACTAAAAAGGTCTATTTCATAAACAGCTGATATATTTATAGCAATATATTTCTGTTAGAACACATTTGCAAACTATCCGACATAATAGTATTATTTAATTTCTATCCAGATGTAATTGTAAGTTTCTATCCGACACAGGATATTTATGTCCACATATAAGTGTCAGATGTAAACGTACCTTAAGACTTTGCTATAGATCTTTTTCTATCGTCATCACTGATAAGTTGTGTCATCGTATTTCTAAGTCTTAATGCGCTTAAGATCCAAAAAGTTTCTTTCTACCGAGACACTTATTGCAGGAATTGTTAAAGCTGGGCAAAAAACAATTTGTATATTTCCGAAAATACCATTTTAAATTCCTTATATAACATTTCTATCGTTTTTTGAACTTCTAAATTACTAAATTGTTCGTCTCTGTACAAAATGTTAAGTTCGTTTTTCAACATATCTATTTCAATAACGATGGATTTCTCAGGATATTTGTTTGCATATTCGGGAAATTTTGAGGGATCTATTAAGGCAAAAAACGTAAATCATGTATACTTATTCCCAAAACGTAGGTACTTAATTAACTTTTGCCCCGTTTACTTTATAGTCCAGTAATATTTTTCGCATAATTAAAAACATTTTTAAATTTTTCTTCGTATCTTAATTCAGAAATTCTTTGACTAATAATTTTAATTTGTTTAAATCAGTAGTTTACGTCATTACGTCTTGAAAAAGTTCAAAAGATAAAACAACATTGTGAGATGGTTTTATATGTAATAAGTACCTATCTATTAATTTACGTTAAATTTAGCCTTACTTTGTTTTATTGAAGTAAGTTGTTTTTTATTTACTTTAAATTAATACCTGCCTTGTCTTTATCCTTAAAGCCTTTGTACTATCCCCACACATAGGCAACTTTACTGGTAAGAGATTGAAAATTACCTCCACTACTTGACTCCAGAGAACGAGAGGACAGCGATATGTGTCTGTCCTTTTTTAGACAGAGACAAAATAAAATTCTGTTGTCTCTGTTAGCATTCATTTTGAAATTTAACAGCTGACGCCGGAACTTCATCATGATTCATACGTTACAATATAATTTTAGAATTTTCAGAAAGTGTAATAATGTGAATGAAGAAATTATACGTGAAACATTGCCAATGACATCAATTTACAAATGAACTACATGGTGATTTACAAACAGTGACAAAAAATGAAACCTCGAATTCTTTAGTGAATTTTAAGGTAGGTCTTTCATATAAAGTTTTTGTCTAGGTCGGTTCACTAAAACAATCCAGAGTTAAATTAATATTTTTAATTTTTTATAACATTTTAGTAACTAGTAAGTGAAATAATTTGAAATTAATCACATGAATGTATGTAAATATTGTACAAAATCGGAAGCATTTTCTTAAAAAACAATGTTCCAGTGGCTGAGATACAGGGCTTTATTATGATATTTTCGGATTCTCCTTACAATTTTCTAGAAATCACCACCCCTTTATGTTTTTCGAAAAAAAAAATACATTTTCGTTGAACTGAAAACATTGTTTAAATTACAATAGAAACACTTTTAATCTATTATTTAATCGAATAAAGAACATCTCATAGATGATTTTATTTGAGTAAATGCTCAAAAATACCTCAATTTGCGCAAACAGCATTGTATTCAAATATCGAAGTGTGTCTTCAGTTCATTTTTTAAGTTTTACTCAAGAAATCAGGCTTTTTTGGAAAAATATAAAAGAATAGTAATTTGTAGAAAATTGGAAGAGGAATGCGAAAATATCATGATTGTTACAATAAAGCAGCGGCATACTTTTTTATTTAGACAAATATACCAGCAATACCCTGCAGCATTTATTTTTTAATTTTCATTATTTGTAAAAAATTTAAATATTTTTTAAATTTTAATACCCTGTATTTTTTTAACGAAACTTCCTAGATAAAAGCTTTATACGAAAGAGCCCTCTTAAAATTCCCTAAAGAATACGAGGTTTCATTTGGTCAGTGTTTGCGAATCACCTTACGAATATAATGAGAAGTTATCGTATGCCCCTTTACACCCAATGAACTTATCTTATACCCCTCGTATGTGTAATAATTGCCCTTGAAAGTGTTTCTTACTCCAAACAGCGATGGCGTATTTAACGCATTTTTTCATTGAGTTGCCTATCTATTTCTTATATAGTATATCTTATCTATGACTATCCCTAACCGTCCATTTACCGCGAACTGAAACACTGAAACTATAAGCAGTTTTGTGCCGGCCTCAGTTCCATCCTAAATCATGTTATTTTAACCGCCTCGCGTGTAGAGGGAACTGTAGTATATTGTAGGCAAGTGTGACGTGTCTACAAGCAAAGAAATTCTGGCCGCACTGTGGTGGGGCTTAGTGGGGAGGGGGGAGATATTCAATATATTTGGTTAATTTTCGTAAACCCCTAGTATGAAATCGCCTTTTTACAGGGTGATGTCGGAAGAGTTGTTTTAACAGCAACAATAAAATATGGAACAATAAAATATGGATTATGTTCAATAAAGTGACAAGATTAATATGGGATTTTCCCTGGGTGGCTCCCCGATAACGTAACGACTTTTTTTGTAGTAAATCATATCGTTTAGGGTACAAATGACGGTCCCATCAACCTGTGCCTCATACAACAGGTGCTCCGTCTCGGTTGCAGTCGATCAATCACACCAGTAACCTCCACAGGCATTCGCACGATCGGGGGCAGGTGCTGCGGTGCGAGGGAAGCGGACAACCGCGGGGAACGTCCCGCTTTTTATCGGGTTTTCGCGATACGATCCGCCGCTCCTTGGGTCTTTTTGCGAGCGGGCAATCCATCAAGTGCGTTAGGTGGAAAACCGAGTCGATGATCGGTCGGTTGTTCGCCCATTAATTATATTTCTTGGCAATTAGTTAGCGGCCAGTAATGGATCGGCTTATTGTTTTTGATGGTTTTATCAATCAGGGTGGATTTCAGTCAAGAAAGCCTTCGTCGCTCCGGTGCTCGTTAGGCCGGAATCCATTCAGTTCGGTGAGTCTTGAAGTTGAATTATCTTCGGTCTCGGCTCAAGTACCCCGCTGAATATCTGAGGACGACTACATTGTACTTATTGGCTTGATTGTTGGAGAGATGGTTGCATTGTCTGAACGAAGTAAAAATTAGGGAACTATTTTGTTGCTCAAGGGGCGTTATTTGCGGCACAAAGAATATCAACGTAATCTCACATGGAAAATGTACCTTGTAAAAATTGTAATCATGTATAAAAACTAGTTTTGTATAATCCCACAAAGTTTTACTTTTATTGCATCAAAATAACCCCTATTGAATTCTACAATTATATCTACAAATCCTGCGTTTGCAATAGAAGGTAGTATACAGGTCGTTTAAGAACTTATGGTACAGCGATTTAAAGTTAATTTTCTGGATTACTTCTTAACAACGAGTCAAAATTGAATCAAAATTTCTGATTTTATGTTTTTGAGTATGTTTTATTAAGGAGTGGTTTTACATGAGGTTACTGTCAATACTGGCATCAACAATAGTTCAGTTTGCATATATTGGCTGCCATTATTGGTGATCAGAATAAGGACCTTTTTCTACCTTCCATATTGTCGAAAATTGCCTGAACTTTCTAACTTTCTAAGTCTGTCGCGTGCATACGTGCATTAGCTGTGTAGCGTTAGGTTAAGCGCTGTTGTCACGTTGTGATGAAACTCCCCAATATTAATACTCACTGTATTTTGAAAACTGTTAATCTTACGCCCCTGTAATACACAACTTTTTCCTTCATTTATGATTACTCATCTCATGGTGAAGTAATGGCAGTCAAACTTCTTACACCCTGTATACTGTTGGCTTCTACATACTTTCCTTACATCTAACGTATGTGATTCCTTAAACATTTGCCATGCAAACACGCAAAGTTTAGTTCAATTTGATTTATCAACGAGTAACTAATCAAGAATATTGGCTTTTTTCCCTTCAAACTTTAAAGGAATGTAGCTTATAAGGCATGCTTAATGCGCAAGAAGAGTTTGTAATTAAACATGTGGCTTTACCCATTTAATACATTAAATTATTAATTAAATTGTGGGCAACAGGGCTATTTTAAATTTTGTAATTTTTTTTTTTTTTTTTTCGTAAATGGGAAATATCGAAATATGTGACAACATTATTCAGCCCTTAGACCGCAATTTCATAGGTTACTCAGTTCTCAAGGATTTTTAAATAGATTACAGAAAATATTATTTCATGATAATATCGTTAATAATAAAATAAGTAACAATCCATTTTTTAAAAGTAAACAGATACAACCAACATTTTATTAATATAAAACTATAAACTTTCAATTATATTTTCAGTTTGCATTGCGGTATATTATCCATATATTTAATTAACGAATAAAAACATTAAACCAGTGCATGTATTAATAATTGCAATTATTTATAATCATTATGTTATGCAATATGTTATCCGTAAGCTAATGCACTGATATAATATAATTATTACGGGACTTGAAAATCTAAACTGCCCAGTTATTATATTCCTTTATATTCACCACCTGCCCAAGATCATATAGGCTACCGTAGAGAAAGAAGTCTCAGGTTGATTGATCGATTGCAGTATATCATAACGAGGTATGTACCTGTTCGTACAGATGCTTTTAGTAATATGGATGTTTTCGACCCTGTTTGACCCTTAGATTTTAATCGCAGATCTATACCAGATGATAGAAATGGGGATTTTATATAACATGAATAAGTTTTATATAAAGGTGGATTGTAAAACGCTTCGTGTTGAAATAAAATGATATAATTTTTTTTTATTTATCTCTCTCCAGTCTAATTTGAGCCAATGGTTTGCATATTTAGATAATTAGAGACAAAAATTAATTAAATTCAACCAGCTTAGGGATTTTGATTCCCAACTATATTTCTAAGAAAAAAGAAGGACTTACCCTATTTTCATTTTATAAGAAACTTATTAAATGCAATAGTTCTTTCATTAGAAGCTTATAGAGTTTAAGTTGTGGTGACACCTGTTGTTTGTAGAGATTTTCATAGTTATTTGGTAATTTTTAAAGATAAATGTATTGCCGTATTTCTCAATATTTGCAAAAGAAGGGACTCTACTCACTTAGAGAGATGTTGTTCTGCTTCTGGTGGTCGACCTGCCCACGGAGCGCCCTGAGCTTCCTCAGCTTCAGCTCCTGGGCGTCCACGCGGTCCCTCAACCGCCTCAAGCGCTCGCTCTCGGCCTGCACGCGCTGCTGGCGAGCCTCCTGCTCCTTCAGGTACCGGAGGCGCTGCTCCTTGGCCACCAGCAGCTGGTGCTGCGAGTCGATCTGGGCCTGCTGCCTGCAAGCCATCTCGCGCAGTTCGCTCAGTGTCAACTGCACTCCGTCCGGTAGCTGGAACAAAAGATAGGGTTGTTATTTTTTAGTCGTAAATGTGTTTTAGGGATAATAATAATAATAATAATAATAATGAAAGAAGTTGATTGACCAACAGACTAATCCAATTACAGGGCAATTACAAAAGCATTTGAATTGTAGGACAAATTAAATCATTTTGACGTAATTGGAGGTTTGGTTATTAAAATTAATTTTAGATAGCAGCAAAGGAGAATTTGGAAAATTATTTATTAATTTATAGAAAACACAATATTATAATTAATCTCCGTTTTTTTAATTAATTTTTTTATTTTTTTATACGAAGAAAAAATATTTATTTTTGCTTTTTACAAGACCTACTTAATTTTTTAGAACTGGGAACATGCAACAATTAATTTCCCATTTCCCTATAACCCAAAATTTCAGTCATCCACACCTATAGTTAACACAATTGGTGTTTCTGAACATAGTGGTCGATATATGAAGTTTTTACTTACTAAAATCCAATGTATATCAAAATACATACAAATACATATAAATATATTTTCATTAACGAGTAATGTTTCTTATTTACTTGTAATTAACGTAGCAACCTGATCAACTTTACTTTTCTAACAGTTCACTTGCTCGTTTGCAGCTTTTACAATTAGTTAAATGGACTTTTTCAACTATACTTTCGGTTTTTTGCAAGTTGGCAACTTTAAGTTTCAGTTTTAACAATACCTGAACATCGAACAAAGAAGGAGTTGATTACACAGAGGGTTTAACTTGAAAGCGCGAAAAACTTCTATAAAACTCGGTTGTACGTGTCAGAACATTACATTTCGCTAACTGCGGGATTATTTTTGTTTTAAAAAAAGTCGCTGTAGTTTCATGTGCTTTGACGCTATAAAAACCTTGTTTGATTTTTGCCTTTTCTGTTTTAAAGGAGGATTTTTATGTTTCGTATAACAGAAAGTTTGAATGACAGTACGTAAAATCTGAAATAATTTATGAAAATAAGACAACACATGACATGCATTTTAATGTAGGTTTTTTTATTCATTGTATTCATCACTCCACCATTTCTTGAAAATATACAATGGCTGTATTTCTAATATTTTTATTGGCTCTAAATATAGTAACACTATTATTAATCCCTTTTGCTGCCGATCATGAAAAACGTTTCATAAAAGAAATACACGGTATTGAATACGAAGCTCACTTCTATTAAAAATTTAACTTTTCTCATGAATAAATATTATAAGCTCGCGACTTATTGGCTTATGAATTCCTTTCACAAAAATTTGAAGGTTTAACTAAAAAAAAAAAGAAAAACGTAGATGAAATGTCTGATCTTAATCAAGGTTTTTTTATATAAATGAAATTTTTATTTAAATTACAGGTCCTTACATTTTAATTAAAATACATAAATTAATTTAACGTAAAAAATCTATAAGCTTAATTATTTCGAATATCATTGGAATTTAAAATGATATAATAAAATAATAATAAAAGCTTTTACTGCACGATTTTATTGTAGGATTTCAGTTAAAAAGTCAACTAGTAAGGAACATCAGAATTTTGTTCATTATTAATAGTAAGAAAATCAAGATCCTTTATATCCTTGCCCTATTCCGTCTACAGTACATTAGTATACATCCTTATTTTCTTAGTTATTCTAACAGCAGCTGTTTAACAACCAGAGCCACACTCCAAATTCATCACCAACCGACGTTGTTGATAGTCCCGCAGTAAATCGTGCCACATTTAAAATTTGATTCATTAATTCTTTTTCCCAAACCAAACAGATGTAATCTAAAATTAATGATTGCATTCACTGCTGAGTATCCCGTTTATGTTTACACTCGGCGCTAATTAATGTAATTTTCCGGCTGAATTGTAGACAAGCTGAAAGCTCTAATAAATGGATTAATATGCATTATTAACACCCCAATGTAACGGCACAAACAAATCCCATTTAAATTTCAAACGGGCGTTGGGAACAGACCCAAGAATAATAGAGCTCGTGACGAGTGTCTTTAGAGATCGAGTGCCGCTGTCTCTTCGGTCTTTCGGCCCTGAATAAGGAAGGAACACGGAAACGTAATCCATATTTTATGGATAGAGAAGTCGACATCGCTGCAACACGACAATTCATAGATATATTTTGTTCTGCAACGTATTTTTCAATAAGGTGGTATCTAATATTAATATTGTCACTTTTTCGTTGTAAATTTATATTTTAAAACTTATTTTAATCTTTAATGTGTTTTTACTACATGACGTTGCTGTTTGTATGTAGACAACTGTCCTAGCAGTATAGCAGACCACATGTTTAGATTCATTTGTAGCATTAACTACCCAAATATAATGTTATAAATACCGAGGAAATAAATATGTAATATGACTTGTACACTAGAGTTCTCCAGAGATATAATTTCGGGCCATTCTTGTTTTTACTATTCATTAATTAAGTTGTTTATGAAAATTGAGTATATCAGTGATTCTCTCTAGTAATTCAAAATCGTTGGAAAAAATAGAGACATAGTATGATAAAAAAAACAACTTAAGCAAACTTAATTGAACGTTTCTAAATGTAAAGTTTTGACATTTGACATAAGGACTTTCCTAAACTCCTCAATATTAGACTTCAGTTTATTAAGTTGAGCCTTTAAATGTTGGGATTTATCATGAGAATCTGTTGTCGTGTTATTTTTTATTATTACATTGGCTTAATTAGAATATTGTAGTATCGTCTGGTCTTCTTGTCAATTGGGTTTGCACAATTAAAAAAATTGTATCAAGTGGCCTTAAAACGCATCATTTGTTAATTTTATCGTAAAATTATTACAAATTTCAACTAAAACTGTAGCAATGGGGTAGACTTTTCTTAAACGCCTGGTATAGGCTCGTAAACGTAGTGGAGCATCAGCGACGAAGTCATTCGGGTAGCAAATTCCGACGTAAATTTCACTTACGAGAAAATATTCAGGGTGTATTACAGGGATTTTTTGCATCTTTGTATGCCAGAAGGAATGGGATCCAAATTGCATTTCACCGAATCGATGTTTCCTTTATACCGCCTCTATCAATTTATTGGCGATGTTGCTGCTTCCTCGCTATGCAAATCGTAAAGCGATATCAATTCGATGGGAACGTATAAAAGAGGTTCTTTTGTTTCGCTGTCTAAATATGTTCTAGGTTTTTCCGGGAAAAATCAGTTTAATGTTTGCGATAGACTTTTAGAACCAATGTTACCATTCGCTTAAATACGAGTAATAAGCAAGCTCATGGAACACATTGTCATGACGATTTCCTTAATTTTTTATTAGATCGATTTGCTTGCGGCCTTACGTACAGGGTGGTCAAGTAAAAGTTACCTCTTTTCCGTTATTGTTCGAGATACGAAAATGTTGAGAATAAAAGCTAACCTCTATTTTTTTAATGGAACTCCCTGTAGATCCTTACATTATTGAAAAGACTATACTTATTTTTAACGATTTTCGAGATATTACTTAGGTATTATAATTTAGTTTAAACAGTCTTAGAGGAATATTGACAATAAAAAATAATTAACTTCTTATAAAGTGAATAACAATTTACTTAAAATACATAAACATTCGGTCATCAATAACAAAAAAAAGTTCAAACCCAAGAGACCCACATATCGTTTCCGAAGGAATTCGATGCGCTGTACCCGATCCTGTAGTCAAAATTCATGACTTGCCGATGAATTTCGAAGAAAAGTGAAATTTTTGGGTGAAAACATCCAAATTTCTACTAAATGAAATAATGAATTAAAAACATTGCAACATTAATATTAATTGAGAAGGTGCAAAATGCAAAAATAGAAAAACGAGCACTGTATTGAACGAAGAAGATGAACTGAAAAATAAAATAGTTTAGGAGTTTATAACTTTTCCTGTACCTACAAAAAAACAATAATTTTCTCATAGTATTCTCAGTTTTACAGTTTATTACAGCGATGTTATATCTTAATAAAAAATTGAAGCACTTTTGACGGCATTTCTAGAGATATAGAGATATACAGGGTATTGTGGAGGGTCAGTTAATAAACCAAAATATTGCGCAAAGTACCTAAACAAACATATTACATGCATATATCACTGTAATTAAAAAAATTACAGGGGTCTAAAAAAACGACAATTGTACAGGGTGTCCAATTAAAAGGAAAGTTTATACTTCTGATATGCAACATTCAAGTGTTTTTTTTTATATATTCCTTTGAGATCACAAGAAAATTTCCTAAATCTTTGGGGGTGGAAAAAATAAAGATAATATTATAGGAATGACCTGTACTTAAATACAGAATTTTGTGAACGATTTCGTTCCCTGCAAAGAAATTAATAAAGTAGACGCGTCGCAGGGTCTGGTGAGCGAAATTAATAAATTTAATCCCTTAAATGCCTCCCCCTTCTAATTTTTATCACCTAGCGTCGCCCAGGAATACAAAAAGTTAATTAGAATTAAAAAGTGTGGCGTTACATTAGCCGATTAGGGTTTCATTAGGGCTCAGGCGGCGACCTTCTTAGTTTAATTAAAACGGTAAGTCTTCTTAATTAAAGGAACGCCGGTGAAGCGATTGGATTTTTTTTCTTTCACATCAGTGGAGCTGCAATCTCACCATAGTGCTGGATAGTTCGGAATCGCGATCAATTTTAATAGAATTCTCTATTCTCTAGCCCGACGACGAGTCTTGGCAAGCAATCGTAGTAGAGCTGTCACTAAAAATAATTTTAAATGAAGTTTGTTAAATGCGATGTTTGGTCCTAAACTGATGTTCCAGTCACTTAACTGATGAATAATTCGTCACAGTTAAATATTTAGAGTTCGTTCTGATTTAAATAAAAAAATAACGGGATAAAATCCCGTAGAATTAGAAAATTATAGAACTTTTAGATCTTTTTGGTCGGAAAAATTGAGGAAGTAAACAAAAACATTAGATCAGTTTCTCAGATAACTAATACTTTAAAGAATTGTAAAGTTTTCTGCTTAATTCTATTGATATGAAATTT